CGTATCAAACCTAGACAATTTCTTGAGAAGCAGAAAAAAAACAAAGAACAACGTAAAATACATTCCCAAACGTAAAAAAAAATGGGGGGGGGGGTTTCCAAAGTCATTTTTTATTTGCCTCAGTATATACTTTTAATAACTCTGCAAATTCCAGGGGGGTCCGGACCCCAAGCCCCCCTCTAGATCCGCGCATGATAACAAAAAGTAAAAAAAAAACAAAAAAAAAAACTTTTTAAGTTTAAAGTACATTTTATCGTTTATCATTTTGACAGTAACTTCCAATGAAAATCACAGTCACAGGGATGAATCCAGGATTTCCATTGCAAAAAAGGGGTGGGGTGATTTCTTTATGAAATTGCACATTTTAATATAAAATCAATTCGTTTTGATAAGCAGTATTATTTATATATTAGCTAAAAATGTATTTCCTATATTGCCTCCACGATAAAATTTTGGGTATTTAGGCACGTATTTAAATTAAGAAGAATTAAACGGTTTTATAGAACTGTAGAAATTTTATACGCTAGAACATACAAGAAGAACACTTCGGAGCGGCAAAAATGTTACAATTCTTCCATGATATATCCGCGTCTTTGGCAAATAAGGTGTCGGGGGTGGGGTGGGGCTGGCCCCTCTTAATATACCCCTGTATCAATTATATTCAATGATATTAAACACTGGGATATTATTAAATGTTATTGATATCCACACAAGTATCCGGCAAATATTTGATTTTAAGGTTCTGCAGTCCTCTGTTCATTTAATGATAAAGATTTTTTCAAAAAGAAAATCTAATTCATAATTACTAGTAAATTGCGCACAAATTCAGCATACCTTGTGGGGCAGAAATGGCCTTTTCACTTAAACTGTTTTTTAATAAGGTTTCAAGTTTTTACTTATGGCAAAGGAATGCTAAGTTTAACACATTGTGAATTATTTCTCTATCACTAATCAGAGGGCCAGGGAGTCTTAAAGATGCAAATATCTTCTTCTTTTTTTTAAATTGGGTTAACAACTCCAAAGCGTTTTGCAGTTTATTGGGCCAAACCCCTTCTAATATTTTTATATACAAGTGTTATGAAAATTGCATGGGCAAAATAAAACCAAGCTACTGATACATGAAGAATGAATATTTCTTTTGGTGCTCACCGAGTTTGAAAGATTTTTTGATTAAAATACTGAGGTTGAAACTGATCATCTGTAAGTTGCCTTGACACACGAATGTTGCTCAGTGTTTATTGTGAGAGAAATGCAGATAAAATAGAAGAAAATTCAATAAAATTAACCTTGTGACCTTTATTAACGTTGATACATGGGTCACATGATATTTTATTAATGATATTTATGAATGGATCCAGAGGATGGGCCGTCCCTAGCGATACTATCATTGTTCTGGCGCGTGAATGTCCTGCGATAGAGCCCTAACTTAGCCGGAAATTTCATTCATAAAATGATGTCAATTCATCTACTACAAGGGTTTCCATTACACTATAAGTTCGTGGCGGACTTTCTTCGTACTAAACGATGATTAATTGAGACATTACAGCACAAAATACCAAGGCTGTATCTAGTGAATGGAAAACATCTTTTCTTCTTCAGAGCTAACGGGAAAAATTGCTTCTAATGAAATCGAGCGCAAAAAATAATGAAAATTAATACGCGCTGTCAAGTTCAATATTCTATCTGATCTACTTGTAGTAATCTTAACCGTGTAATAGACTGTAGCTTATCTATCATTTCTTAAACAAAAACCCCATAATACGAATCACGTAGAAAGGACAAGAGTTTTTTCATGACGTCCAAATTAAATCTAACATAAAAATTGCATTTTATATATAAAACGTACAAAAAGATGAAAGAATAAATTTAAAAAAACATGAATAAATAGATAAGAGATCAAAATGCTACCAGCTTTAACGTAAGTTTTAAATTGATTTTTTCCTCCTAGTGCATCGAGTCATAAATCGGTTACTCTGTGATTTGGCATAGTGCGGTGCAAAAAATAATCATTCAACCTTTTGTCCCTTACATTCACTGAGAGTGGGGGGGGGGGGGGTATTAATTTGGATCTGTCTGTCCGTCCGTCTGTATGTCTATAACACGTTCGTTTCCGGACGATATCTCAAGAAGCCTTTAAGCTTTTGCAATGAAAGAAAGAGGGCGTAAAAGGCGAGGACAATCCCCCACTCTGGGACAATATATTTCTCAATTTTCAAAGTTCATTAAAAAATTATATTTTTCTAAAATTGTGTTCTCATTAATGTCATCTTCAATTCATTTAATTCAATTTTTTCATTGAACGACTTTTTGATTGAAAAGGATGACTGCACTTAACACCTGTTTTGGGGTCTTTTTCGGTTGCTTCTGTTGCTTTTATATCTAAACCTTATCTCACTTTTGTATGTTTATGAAAGAATACTGTCAATTTGGAACCACATTAAAATTTTAAAATGATTTTAGACTGTGATACAATAAAATGATTCAATGTTTTTTGTCCTTACTGCTTTCCAAATATAGTGAATTTACACTTATTGCCCTTGATTGAACATTAGGTATGCATGAGAGGTGGAGCTAACATTGTAAGAATAGGTCTAAAATTAGACTTGATTGTTTGGAAAAAAAGAACGTGATCATGCAGTCTTTCCAATCTCCCTCTACATTCTGTATGGCACAAATACACTTCTGACAAAGGTTTCAAAACGAAATTAACAATATGCCCACGTCAATGTAATTAAAGCAGATTTTATAATATCAATGCCAGATGACTTAACGTGTTCGAACACAATGTCCTAGTTAGCACAAAACATGCTACCTTACAAGTCACGTGACGGAATTTAGTATTCACAGAGTTACCTGAGGTAAGAAATCACGTGGTGAATTATAATATTCAACATGTCACAATCCTTGGTTACAACACAGAGAGCAAATGTAAGAAGAAGCAGTTTTTTTCTCTTTTTAACCATGAGCGCATGTTTGTCTATTAATCTCCTTTTGACTTATTATTATTTAGGCAAATATACAACTACTGTTAAACGTAGAACAATAGACAAACATGCGCTGACTATGTATAAAGTCAGTAAAAAAGTGGACGTCCTCATTATCGAACGGAGATTCAAGAAATTGTTTTGACCCCTGTCGTTGAAAACAGATTCGAACTTCGTAAATACACACTTTTATTAAACGTAGTTGCATAAAATTGTTGATTGGATGTTGACCATTCTTGCAATGAAAAGAAAAATGCTTGTTTTGAAAGTTTTTTTTGTCGCAAATTCCGCATGTCCTTAAGTGCAGTCATCCTTTGTTTTTAAAGTTGACAGTAAAGCATATTTAGTGGAAAATGGGTTTATTAGAGCCATAAAAAAATGATTTTTGAATATGAATGGATCTTTTTTTATATACCTTAAAACATTAGTGAAAAATAAATTATTTGTCAATAATTTATTGAACAAAATATAGGAAGCAAATATGTAAAAGAGTATATTGACAATATAATTTTTGAAAAATATAACTTTTCATGAACTTTTAGAATTGAATAATAGTCTTCTTTCATAGCGGGGGATCGTCCGCGCCTTGCACGCCTTCCTTCTTTTATATCACAACGCCATATGGCATAAGCAGACCCCTAATGATTTTGAGGTTAAAGGTTAGGGTCATAAATTTTGTATGTGTGTAACACTTTCGTTTCCAGACAATATCTCAAGAAGCTTTTGAACTTCTACTATGAATTTGGTCCCGCGCGCGTCCGCCCCTCTCAAAGTGTTCCCACCCCGCTGTTTTTTTTTGTTTGTTTTTTTTTTTTTTTGTTTTTTTTTTTTGGTTAATGTTTATATTAATCGAAAGTCAATTAAAAGTTTGTTGGCATCGATAACTGTCAAAGTTTTATAGCTACTCCCCGTTTGTATTAAAGGCTTATTAGACATTATGTGTTGTGTTAAATTTTGACAATAACGTGTCAAGAACGAAAAATTAGACGTTATAAAGACATCGGAAATCTGTGATATTTTCAGACAAAGCACACGTATTTGTTGGTCAAACGAAAAATATATATTTAGAAAAAGGCTAATGAGAAGCGGTAAGTAACAGGTAAAACACCAATTAATATGCAAAGTATTTGGATCCGCGCCCAATTTTATTTGTGGCGTGCACAGCGCTCTCGTAAAATCGTTATTACAGTGTGTCGATAAATATTTTATGTTAAAAAAGAATTTTCTGTATACATTTCAAAGAATAAGCAATTAAATTTATATATCCATATTGGCATTTACAGTGTGAAAATTTTGTTTAAGAAGATCGTTATATACACGTTTGCAGTAATAGAAAATAAAATCCACCCATCCGCCCCAATTTTTAAGCAAATTAGGATGAAAATCTAAACTTTAAATTTATGTGACCTTAAGACCAAAAGCTGAAAGGTCAAGGTTGACCTTTCTTCTTTCTCCATCTGCAATTTTTGTTTTCCATTTCTTCCGCCCTCTTCTTGTCTCCTTCAGTGTGGGACACAAATTCTCTATATTAGCTTATTGTAGTAGATGAGGTGATGCTAGATTTTTTTTTTGGGGGGGGGATTCTTCATTCATTTTTTCGAAGTGTTCTCTTATATTGAAAATAATCTTTCCTGTGCATAAAATTGATTTTCTATGGACATCAAATTCTTAGCTGACTTAGTGAGTTTTGTTTTTTGTTCTTTGTTCGTATATGACATGTAAAAAGGCGTAAACTTATGTAATTTTATAAATGCAATTGCATGGCAAATGCGTACTTTCTACGATACATTCTAACATAATTAGGGAAACCATCTCTATATAAGAAAAGAATAAGCAATTCAAAAAATAAATAAATAAATAAATAAATTTAATAAAAATGCGGGAAAAATCAAGCACCGGGCATAATTACACAAGTATTAACGCTACGCGGGAAACATTAACGTTGGCGTTTTTATTGTGACGTAAACAAGAGGAAACCTAAGCGTTGTAAACGTAAATACGAATATAAAATACATCACAGAACAATTGTTGGTTTAAAAATGGCTGAGCTCCCTCAATCCCAGGAAACAAACTGTTTAGAACAGAAATCCGAAGAAGGGGTCAAACTTTCGCAGGTACATTTTCAGTTTAGGCCTAGTTCAAAAGCTCTCGTCTCTCCGACCTGTGTGTCCTATGGTTTTTTTAATCGCTGTAAAGACGCTGGTGTTTCAGTAATCGATAATTGCACCATCAGTACTTGTGCTTTACAGATAAGACTAACATCGTCCTTGACCTCAGAAGATTCCGGTGCCGCACCCTCTCCTAACATATCAGACCATCAAGTCAATCTTGTCATCAATTCTTCCTCGTCCAGCAGCGAAAACGTTTGTAGAATTTGTCAGCTGGCCAAAAAGAATTCGGGTATTTCATACAGTTATAATTTTACCCTGTGTCTAAGAAAGACATTCAGATATTTAGGTAAAATTACTATAAAGTGAACATGGAGTGAAAATTTTGTAGCCATCATATTTGCTGTATCAGAGCTGATTGTTCTTGAACCAAACTTCCAAAAAACGTGGAAATTTGTAATTAAAATATTTACAATCATATACAATGGTAGCTACAGAACTGTAGCGTTATGGTTTTATATATAATGGTCAAAGACTAATATTTAAAACTATAACGCAACAGTTCTGCAGTTAATACAATAAAAAATTAAACGAACTGACCACAGGATTGACTCTAAAGAAGAATCACAACTCTTACTTGAATTTCTGGAAAAAATTCATCTATGGGGACATCACTGGTACATCTTGATTTCGAAGTATTTACCACTGTTTCTGGGGAAAAAAACAAGTTAAAAAAACATAAAAATTTTCTCATACATAAAAGAATGTGAGAAACAAAAACACTTTCTGCTGGAAAATGATTAATAAGAACTTACGGCTTATATTATATGAAGCTGTGCCTTTTTTATGGATAAATTAAACACCGTCGAAACTGTAAAAATTAATAATCACAAATTCTTTTACAAAAAATTTCAGATGAGGATTTGCGGTCTACAGAGTGCGATTGTCGTGGTCAGTTGTCCAAAGTTCATCATTCCTGCCTAAGGGAATGGGTACGATACAAAGGTTCAACTAAATGTGAAATATGTAATGGTCATTTTGCCTGTGTCACACCGCCTGTACATCCAGGCATACTTCAGCTAGAGGTAAATATCGGTTAATAATTAACCTTTTCATTTATAACGTTTAAGCACTCGCTACGAATTCATCTAATTAGATTTCTTCTACTAGTTTATATAGATATTTCTTTTAAAGGCTTTACATCAACTTGCCTGGCACCTAGAAAGGAATCGCCCCTTCAGTAGACGCAAGAGAGCCATCCTTGGAGCTGCCGTGCTCTTTCTAGTGGTAGTGACCAGTGTGACGTCACTGCTGACCGTCAGTGCAGACAGAGAATACGAGAAAGCTGCCAAAGACCCATGGAGCTCACAAAAACGAATGGATGAATCTAATATAATTTTCTCTGTTTGCATCGCCTTTGCGTTTTTCTGCGCCACTCTGACTGTTGGACTTGTGATGATTTGGTTTGGGGTGGAGTGCTGTTTTGCCATGCATCGTCGAGGAATTCTAAGAAGAGCATCAAGAAGATTACTACGAAACGAAAATAGAGCTTGATTATATCAATAATTATCATTCAAAAAGAATGAATTCAAACTTATGTATAAAACTGAACAACTCAAATGGCTTCTACAGAATATACGAGTATATAGCTTATACGAGTAGTGTAGTGTACCGAGACATGGGCTGACAGTGCCATTAAGACATATAGTATGACGTACCTGCTAACAAATGATAAGCATTATTCTCAGAAACTATCGTAAAATGAAAATATCGATCGGCTAAGGAAATAAATTCCATTTCAAAATCATATGCCCAAGTGGCACTAAATAATTATTTTTGGCACACCTGAGCCAAAGGCTCAAGTGAACTTTTCTGATCAAAGGGTGCCTGGTGTCCGTCTGTCTGTCTGTCCTTTGTCACATTTCAAATTCTCCACCAGAACTATAGAAGCAACTTAAACTAAACTTGCCACAACGCATCATTGGGTGAATGAAATTCAAATGAGTATTCGGTACATATACAATACAAATACATGAAGAAAAAAAAATGAATAAATATTTTAAAAAAAATAGAGTGGGAACTATATCAAGAAGAATAGAAAGCATCATTTTAAGATAAAGATACATAGTTTTTCAGGATTTTTTCGTTTTGAGTTGACATAAGTTCCATATTAAACGTTAGTTAATTACATTCAGTCTGTGAGGATAATACTCGCCATGGTAATTTGTTTTTCTTACATTAACGTAAGCTTTACATTCTAGGATATAATGAAATTCATCATTAATTTGAGCATTAATCTCGATCTACCCTACCTATACTGGATTCCTAAACTTCATAAAAATCCTTACAAAGAAATTAAGATACATTACCGGGTACAGCAGATGCTCTACCAAGCCCCTAACTTTACTCTTCACAAAAAATATTAACTGCAGTAGAGGAGAAAGAGGGTGTTGCAGTTCTTTTGTTATTTTCCCTAAGGTTGTAGCAATTTAAAAGAAAAATTTTAAATAACAGAAAACGGTCTTAATTTTTTTTTCAGATACAACGGTATATACAGCACAATGTAGAACAATATTTAGAAACTGCATATCGACTTCCAATTTGCCATTAATCGAGTGTAAATTAGTCACATACCAAAATAAGTCAAGTTTTCTGTTTTTCAAATGTAGGGAATCCCCATTGTTCTGTAAAATTGCCTCCTTGAAACAGAATGAATTTGATATACGCATAAAGAGACAGAATTTTTCTACAAAACTGCCATTTCCGATTTTTGTTTCAAAGAGGCATATTTTTGAAAATCACAAAAATCGAATAAAAATTATTATCCATCCGAAATGCAAAATGTGCACATAAAGTAGCACAATGTACCTCAGTGTCGTAGCTGGTCTAGTGGTAAAGCGTGTGGACTCTTTAGCGAACATTCTTTTTACCTGAGAATGGGTTCGAATCCTGGAATAGCTGGTGTATACATATTTTTTTTCCTTAAATAATGGAAGTACAATGTAAAATCTCTCTTGAGAGAAAAAGAGAGAGGGAGAGAATGTCAGAAAGTTAATGGGTAATATTTTAAATGCCTCCAGAATTAAATTGTTTTCCTTGATTTTGTGATCTAAAACTAATAAGACATACATTTTATGTTATTATTTATGGCGATGTCTTAAAAAATAAAGTACTATTATTTTAAATAATTTAATTTTTTCATACTCATTTCGTTTCCTTAATGTTCTGTTAAAGTCGGATCAATGAACAAGATAGGAAAAACTATGCATGAAATAAACGTAAAATGTAACTATATTTAGAGATAACTCTTCATGCGTCGTGGGTATTTAAATGTCCTTCTCGATATATAGGGAATAATCGCGAGTTTCTGCAACACCCTCTTTCAGACACACCGTGCTACAGCATATTCTAGAAGTGGTGTAAAATATGACTAAATGTATTGCATACACTTAAATATAAATTAAAAAGGGACTTGTTAATCAAAATATATCTATCATTTGTTCGACCAGTTGTAGAATATGGGGATGTGGTATGGGATAATTGCACTGAAGAACAATCCAAATTACTGGAAAGTGTTCAGGTGGAAGCTACAAGAATAATTACAGGCATTAGGTGCAATACATCCAAAACTAACCTATATAATGAGTTGGGATGGGAAACCTTAAGTTCAAGAAGGGAAAAGCATAAGCTCACACTGATGTATAAAATTCTTAATAACCTTACCCCTGATTACATGTATAATATGCTCGAAGGATGTATGCCAATTCAGCATAATTATAATTTACGCAACCCAAACTCATATCGTATCCCAATCACTCGAACAGTGTCTTACTATAATAGTTTTGTACCATCCACAATATCCTTATGGAATAATTTACCTGATGATTGTAGCACTTCCCCTACATTGCAAAATTTCAAAAAAAAAAAAAAAAAAAAAAAAAGATTAACCTATAGCTACACCAATCCCATCCAGAAAAATAAAGTCAAGTTGTACAATTATGGGAATAGAATTTGAAAATATACTACATTGCCAGTTGAGAAATAAAGGTAGTAACCTTAATGCTGATCTTTTTAAATACCACCTTAATGATTCACCAAAATGTACAAACTGTGGATATCAAACTGAAGATTCATAACATTTTTTCATGTATTGCCCACAATATGTTCTTCAAAGACAGATGCTGATTAAATATATGAATGAGAATGGCATACCAATTAATATAGATAATATACTATATGGTGCTGAATCCTTATGTTTAGAAGACAACATTTCATTTTTTGATCATGTACATACCTTTATAAGAAACTCAAAGAGGTTTTCACTGAAATCTTAGTTTAACATGATATGCTAGGAAGAATAATATCTCATTTTAGGTATGTTAAGGAAATTTTTCCACTCTGAGTCAACTTTATTTTGTTTTTTATGGTCTTTCTCTCTCTCTCTATTTACTCTCTCTCTCTCTCTCTCTCCCTCTCCGTGGATTCACTTTATACATGTACCAATTAATAATCTATTTTACATACTGCTTTTCAATGTTAAATGTACTTTATTATGTTTTTTCTCTTTGTTTTACTCTCTCTCTCTCACTCTCTGGATTCACCTTATACATGTACCAATTGATGATCTATTTTACATACTGCTTTTCAATGTTAAATGTACCAATAATTGTTATATGTACCTTGACTTATGGAGAGAACGTTTATAGGCATTATGCCTCCTGTTCAATCCATTTCATTTGTAATGAATAAATATATTTTAAACTAAGTGGTGTAAATCAAATATAGATTCCAAAAATTAACCCCAAAGAACTTTTGGAAAATTCAACATCACAAAATTTTTCAAAAGTCATTAACATCAAAACATATGAATTTTGTTCACTTTATACAACCATTCCTCACGATAAATTAAAAAAATTAGGCTTTTTGATATCAAAGGCAACTTCTTCAATAAAAATGGAACTTTTCCTATCTATTGATTGGTCATCAACAAAATTACTTCGTTATAAATCAGTCTGATTTTACAAATAAGTACTCTGAAGTTGATATTTATAGGATGCTGGAATTCGTCATTGACAATGTCTGGGTAGTCTTTGGAGACCAGGGGCCCGTTTTACAGAAGAACTTACGACTAAGACCACAATTTAATTCTGCTTATTATTTCTATTTAACATTAATTTGAAAACGGTTTTAGAAAGATATTTTTATTTTATCAATTTCAAACAGATTAATTAATTTTGCAAAATTTTACGATCTACTTAAGTTTTTGATCTTAGTCGTGTAAGTTCTTTTATAAAACGGACCCCAGGTCTTCCAACAAGCCGTTGGAATTTCAACTAATTGTGAACTAATTTCGAACTAATTGTGCTCCTTTATAAGCCGATCTGTTTTTATATTCCTACAAATCAAATTTTATTCAAAAACTTCTACATGAGAAGAAGAAAACACTTGCTGTGGACTTAAACTTGACATTCAGATATACCAACGACGTTTTATCAATTAACTTTTGTTACATCCATTTATATGTCGACTCGACATATCCCAGTGAACTTGAAATAAAAGACATCACAGAGTCTGCCACATCTGTTTTATATCTGGATGTTTTACTGACTATATGCGATAATGGCCAACTAACAACTAAACTGTGCAAAAAACGAGATGACCTCAGATTTTCCATCGTCATCTTTCATTATTTGTGTAGTAACATTCCGCTATCACCAGCATATGGTGTTTACGTCTCTCAACTTATTCGATACTAAAGAGCATGCTCTGAGTATGAACAGTTTTTAATTCGAGGCAGGCTACTGACAGATAAGTTGATGTTACAGGATTTCAACAACCTCGTTTTAAGTCAGTATTTCGTAAATTCTATGCTCCTTATAGTGACCTTGTTAGCAAATATATCATGTCAAATATCCTATATTTCATATCAACTGTTAAGCATTAGTTTCTATACTCATTGTCTGTAATTACTGTATTTGACTACGGAATGTTCCATCTACGACTACCTGATCAATACATAGGGCTCACGGCGGATGTGACCTTATCGACAGGGGATCCTTACTCCTCCTAGGCACCTGATCCCATGCACCTCTGGAATTTCCAAGGGTCCGTGTTTTATGCCCCCCCTCCCTTTTTTTGATCGATCAATGTTTGTTTTCTTCACCTTTTTCATTTCTTGAAAGTTCATTATACGTTATCATATTATATAGGGTAAATAACATCTAAAAATGGCTTGTTTTTGATACTTAGCCGATGTTTTGAAGTTTTATTCAATTTAAATTCATATACAAAACGCCGTGTTAATTAAGTAGCATATAATATCATCGAACAATAACTTTCAATTTCATTTCATGCTAATCATGTAAACATTGCGATATAAAGCAAGTTTATAGGAAATTAGATTTCTGTAATAAAATGTCTTTTTTTCTTTATATGGAGCACTTCAAACTGCCTTAGGAAGCAAGACTTTAAAATGTTTCACGAAAAGTTTTCAATTTCAAGCTTCATCTTGAGACTTATTCAAATATACGATAATTTCAATAGTCCTTAAACCTGGTTGAGCCATAAACATCCTCAGCTTGAAAATAAAATTACCGATGTGATACTCTAAAAACCGACATGAGAATCGTTGACTAGGTGCTACAGCTGTGATAGCACTACAAGAGAGACAAATGCAGAAAAGTGCTTGTTTATCTTCAAGAATTTAAAAGAAAAAAAATCTATGTAAACTAGAAAATAAACTGAATATATCGTCTGTAAACCATTTTGGTTCTATGAATTCATGCAATTCAATTGAATTCCCTGTTTTTATAATCATTTTTGTTCTTTTGTCGGAAAAAAAATATCCAGACTAAATATGTGTAGAGAGAGAAAGACAGAGAGAAGACACATTCACACATTTTACAGACAAAGGTTTAATCAAATTTTATTGGTAAATAAGATTCATATTATACAATTGCTAAAAAAAAATACAGCAAAATATATTTTATACTGAGTATTTCACATACATTGCATATCTTATAGGATTGATTTGTGTACATGTGCTTAAACTTAAATAAATATTAAAATAAATAACATTATATATATATATATATATATATATATATATATATATATATATATATATATATATATATATATATATATATATATATATATATATATATATATTCGACATACCCGCTTATGAGAAAAAAATCCACAAACAAATTTTTAACTACTCTAGATAAACACTAAAAAACGACAAAATAATTTTATGCCATTATACATCAATGAAAACAAAAACTCTTGCTAATCTAAGTGATGCTTGAAGTACACAGTTCTGTGTATTAATATGTTCTGATCCCTTATTTTTTCAGAGAGTTACAACTAATTTTATTAACCATGGTGTTATGAGGAGCAGGTGATATGTTGATCTATGTATATCACAGACACAAACAATATTCTATTTTTAATTATCAGTAGAAGTATAATAAAACGTATATTTTTCTTACCCTGATTAAACGTCGTGTCAGCAGTCGGAAAATGATTGCTTTTCATAACGACCTTAAATGAAATTTTTGTTTCATATTTTATAATTTATATTGGCATACAAGCAAGACCTGTAGTATACAAATGACCGTCAATACCATAATGATTTGGGATGGCAATTGAATATGATTGCCAATCGGTTAAACACAAGCCGTTCAGACTGATCAACCGGTTAATGGTATCAAAATACATGTACACATTTTCTTGACATATTTTTTTTTTTCAAGTAAGCTTTATTCATGTACAAAAAGACTAATAAAAACGTCAGCAATATTCTGTTTATATCTGACCAGAACAATCTATATGTTTTATTTCAAGTTCAGTAGGAAAGAAAAATTATAAGAAGACCATATAAAAGATCTTAAAGACATTGATAATTTTTAAGTCAGATTGCATGCACGTTCATTCTGCATTGATACTTTAATCAGAACTAAGTCTGAACTATAAATTTACATTGTTTTTTAATAAGATATGCAAAGGACAGAAGGGGTAAGATACACATTATAAACATTTCACAGTACTTATTGGTGATTACACAGTGGTTAGAGTGTTTGCTCTAGAGTGGCGGAGTAAGCAGCTGATCCTTACGTCGAGAGGTTTGAATCCAGCTGTTGGAGTCCGGTCCATTGGATGAGACCGTATAAACTGAGGTCTCGCGTCACAGTAGATCCCTCACTGCTCAATTGCCCTGAGTGCCGAGTATAGGTCTAAATGTGCAGCCCTACATCGACAAGTGGTGGCGACTCGATATGAGTGAAAAATTCTCGAGAGGGACGTTAAACAAAACAAACATAATGGTGATTAAATTATCATTAAAAAATAAATAATCTATTTAAAAATATCACAGGAATTTCTAACAAAAAATTACCCGATTTAGTAAATCAGAAAATTTTCAGAACAATACGCAGGATTAAAGGATGAACAAGACCTCTCTGGTGAAACTGAAGCTCTACTGGTTATAACATGGGGAGAGAGAAGCAGCACAAATACTTGAAAAAAAGGAACTATCATATTTCCTTCTTTTCATAATGGCAACACCAAACAATAAAGTTTAATCTATATGTGAACCAAGTATCAGACAAAAACACGTAGGAATAGTAGCATTTTGAAAAAAAAATCCAACATAATTCTTTTTTTTAACAACTATTGCAACACCACCTTTGAAGGCACAACCCTAGTTCTTTTTGGCAGGACTTTCACCTGTAAGTCCAGAGATGGTCAACATTACTATGTTCTGTAACAGGATAGAAAAAATTGACAAATCAGACCAGGATTTGAATTCTGGAACCCTGAATCACTAGTGCTCTATACTGAGCTATCAGACGACTGGTGATCGAACCTGTCTGACCGCCATAACATCAAAAACTGATCCTAGTTTATACAGAATAATGTATCATATAGTGTAATCGTGAACTCATTTTATTGAAATCGGACTAAAACTGTAAGAGAAGTACAATGTAAGATTTTCACAGAAGTTCTATTTAAGTTATTACGGCATTACCCTTCAACTGATAGAATGCTCTACTTGTGACACATGTTTTAATGAAATATGAATGCTACTGTAGGATTTTATAGCAAATATTAAATCTGGTAAAATCACATTCAAAATCCAAGAAACAAATATTTATCTTAGAAACGTCTACCTTTGTACCATATTTTACTAAAATTGGACCTTAACTGTAATAAGGATAATACTTTGAAAGTATTTTCCATATTTAAAAAAATAGCTACCATGGCAACATCGTTCATTCATTGAGATCAAAATCTGATATGAAGAATTAGGATTTAGCCTAATGTGTCCTGCTTGTGTGCTCAGATTTATTGAAATCGGACAAAAACTTTAGAAGTAGCGTTCTGGAAAAATTTTAGCAGACAGACTGACTGACATGGTGGACACTTTACCGATACATAGGCTCTTCTGGTCTTGGACCAGTAAGCTAAAAGTTATGAAGGTACCAAATGTGGACACTGGTTTGATTAACATAAAGATCAACAAGTACAATATATGCGTGGATCTAGAAGGGGGGGGGCATTGGGGTCCGGATTTTGGACCCTCTTAGATAATTGGTAAGGAGAGTGAAATATATGAAGGAAATTGACTTAAGAAAAAATGACGTCTCCTATACCCCCTTCTTCTACAATGAAATAGGTTTTTCAGGTTTTGTGAAGTAGTGTAGGTCTTCTGTGCATGCTCGTCAAAATTTTTCCGATATTACATTGGGTTGCTGTGGACACCCCTCCCCCCTCTGGAAAAATTCCTGGATCCACACATACAATACAATTAACTGCTTTAATTCTTATAGGCAAATTCAATGAGAGACAGTACCTTGAAATTAAGACTGTAGTAAAATAACTATAATCTAATTAATCTATTTTTTTTACATAATTATGACTGTATTCTTTGACTGTTTATAAAACATGCACATACACATGTATGTACTAGTATCTCATACAAAGATAAACACCATGAACACATCTGTAAACATTTTACTTGTTTGTCGAATAGGAACTCCAGCACCTTGATAGAAAAATCTTCTCTGTTACACGATAGTGACTGGTCTGTCAGAGAGGTACTGTACTAGATTTGGGTGCTGTTCTATAAGCTGCCGGTGCTCGGTTAAGGCTTCATATTTGTCTAAGACGGAGGGGTCTTCCTGGAGGAAAGTAGTCATCACTTCATGTACTGCTAAATCAGCTAAAGTAATCTACAAAGGAGGAAAAAAAATTACTTTATGTACTGATAAATTTGCTCAAGTACTCTACGAAAGGAGGAAAGTACTCACCTTCATGTAGTGTTAAAGTGATCAAAGAAAGAGGAAAGTAGCCACTTCATATACAGCAAAAGTTATCTATGGAGGCAAGTAGCCAGATAAATCTGCTTAAGTAATCTAAGGAAGGAAACCAGACAACGAACCATACTAAGGTCTGAATACATATACTGTATAACATATTCTTGGGTTAGTATATGGGGAGGGGTTGATTTCAGGTTCATTTATACAAAATTTATATAAAAAGTTAGCCTGTATAAAAAATTATTTATAAAAGTATCGCTGTACTTCTCGTAATTAAGATCAAAGTCAATACAAAACATACCTAAAATGATAACTTGTTAAAACTTAGATATTTTCCCCATCAAAGGTCATCAAATCTTGTCAGTTATGTATCTGTGGGTACAGAGTGAGACAATTCAATGTTGGACTTCTTGGATTTAGCAGCTATAATTTATTTTCAAATTGTTTCATATAAATAACTTTGATATTGTATGCCTAGAATCGTCAAACCTTATTATCTGTTGATGCACCTTGGGTTATGTCAACTAAAAATAGGTCACAGTATTCTAGTTTTTGGATTTAGCAGCTATTCATTTTCAAATTGTTTCAGATGTATATCTTTGACACTAAGTTTTACAGTTATTCATTTTTAAGTCTTTTAGCTACATATTGATAATAAAAGGACAAGGATCATTAAACCTTGTCTGTTGATGTATTTCGGGTAATGACGGGTATCATATCTATAAGTAATTCACAAATTTTTATGGGTACTAATTTTGAAATAATTTCAGCTACATGTACATATCTTGAATATTATGAGATGTAGTGCAATTGGAGGCCTTGGAGTGTGTCAAAAGTTAGGTCATGATGACATACTATCTGAATATTATATGGTCTTCCCAATTATTATCCAAAGAGGCTTCGTACCATGACATTTTGCCAAAAAGTACATCACAATGGCATCGCTTCTGAATTTTATGCTATTCATTTTAAAGATAATTAAGCTTGGAAATCTTAAGCCATATATAGTCAATATGTGTTAAACAGATATATTATATCTTGTGCCTTCATTTACCAATTCTTTTCAGCTGATTTAGCTTGGAATAAAGGTTTGTGCACTCCAAAGTAAGTTAAGATATTCCAGTTTGTTTTTGTTCTGATTTCCCAAATATAACAGTGTATACACATCTAGCACACTAAGAGGTCCTTGCCTTGTACCTATACATACTATAAGTTTGGTCTGTTAATATAGGCCCCTTGACCTCTTGTCTATCTTATGAGAAAGGTGAGGAAAAGTCTTTGTGAAGAAAACTGAAAGTGTTTCCATGACTCTTTTGGCCTTCACCCCTATTTTCTTCTTTTTTTCTGATTAATTTTTTTCCAGAAGTTTCCTTCTCCCATCTGTAAAGTTTCCCTAGCTTTAGATCGCCCTGGCAGCTCAGTAAGATTAAATTAATTTGCATTTCCCTCATCTTCTTCCAGAATTTGTTTTATGGCCAGTGACGATTGAGGTTTAATCTTTTTGTTACAGTTATTGTTGTGAACATTCATACAAAATATTTTTTTTATTTCATATCTTGCTCAACTATACACGAGAAGGTGGTCAAACATAATTATAGTTAGTCTTGTACCTTATGGGGAAGGCTTGTATAAGCAATGCCTTATATGTAGTTTAATTTATAAAATATTTTCAAATTAAACATACAGAAACAAAACTGTATCAGGTAAAGGAAATAATGTTCTTCAGATTATTACCTCTGATCCGACAAAATATTTGTCGCCATGCTGCTTTTGGAAGCTGCTGAGCCTATCCAGGTACTTAGGTAAGACTACATCGGTCATATTTAATTTAAGTTCATTCTGCAAAATACAGAAAAAAATATTTACCTGGAAATATACCAGTATACATGCAGTAATTGGATACCGGTGTTATAGAGTAGGATTTTCCCCCATAGCAGGTTTCCCCCTCAAAACCTATACTCTATATTAGGACTTCCCCCGTGGGGATATCTCACGCTTGCGCAAGATTTTTCCCCTTATTCTTTCTCAGAGTAGGATTAAAAATCATACCGACAATATTTTCTATTAAAGTTCACTGATTTTTTGATAGAAAATTTGTGTTTTCAACTCACAAATTGACATTTTAGTCAACGAAGTTGAGCTCGATCTACCCTGCCTATACTTGATTTTTAAACTTCATAGAAATCCTCACAAACAAAGATATGTTCCCGGGTCCAGTATATAAAAATATTAGTTGCTATAAGGATTGATTAATTGTATGTTAAATAATAGGGGTGCAACGATACACTAACCTCACGGTACGATACGTATCACGGTATTCAGTTCACGATACGATACGTATCACGATACATGACAAGGTTAAAAAGTCTTTCAAGTTTGTCACCATATTTTTTTTTAAACTTGACAGGGTTATATAAAATGTTCATATTTTTTTGATAAATAATTAAAATAAAATTTTGTTAACTTGAATTGGATTGTTGGGTACATCTTTGAGTTTTGACAATATTCTAAACCAGTGATGAACATTTACAGGGAACTACGGGGACCTTTCCTTATAATCTTCCTTTTAAATTGGAATGAAAAAGGAAGACATTCATTCTTTTATTCCTTTTATTTACGTAGAAAACCAGTTGTCATATTTCTCGTGTTAACACGTTTTAGTCAACAAGACAGTGAATTTTCATCGAAATACACACGTGATGAAATATCGTATATTACCAAAGAATACGTTTAGATGTGAAGGGTTTATCATTTGTCTTAACATCTATAACTTATAATCACATTAAGTCCTTCTCAGTGTTAAATCTGAGGTCTGTAAGATGCTGGAGATAAGTTTAACTTCCGTTAATGCGTTATCGGCGACCTCACGTTTTGCGCGGAAGCCATTTTGAAATTGTAAAAAAGGAAACAAAACGAACGATTCGGATAATTCTGGACCGATTGAACCGAACCGCGATATCAGTGTAGCGTATCGTGAATTGAACCGTGGAAAAATATACCGCTATATACCGTCAAACGGTTTATCGTTGCACCCTTATTAAATAACGTCCAATTCGAGAATTTTTCACTCATATGGAGAGTTCAAGGGCTTAAAAATTTAGACCTATACTCGGCACTCAAGGCCATTGAGCTGTGAGGGTTCATTATCGTGCCAACACCTACCGTGACACGTGAACTCGGTTTTATGTCTCATCCGAAAGACCCGTGACTTTCACTTCTAGTGCCGGGCGCTTGGCGAAGGAACAGTCACTACCTATGTTTACGTCTTAGGTTTGACGAGTTTTTAGTAGAAAATTTAAAATAACAATTTTTTAATTATCAGTAACATCAAAATCTATGACTTTTCTACCCTTAATACAGTTTATCATCACAATAAATTGGAAAAATACGCTTTTTTGACATCATAAAACTCAGAAATTTTCATACCTTTTGATTGGTCATTAACAAAATTGTTAAAGATCACTCTCATTCTACAAACAAGTACTCTGAGTTAATATTAAAAGCTATGGAATTCCTCATTTAAACGTCTATGTAGTCGTTGGAGATAAGGTCTTACAACAAACTGTTTGAATACCAATGGACACTAATTATGCTCCTTTATAAGCTGACCTGTTTTTATATTCCTATGAAGCAGAATTTATTCAAAAACTTCAACATGAGAAGAAGGAAGCACTTCCTGTGGCCTTCAACTCGACATTCAGATATATCTACGACGTTTTGTCAATTAACAACCTGATCAATATATAGGGCGCACGGCGGGTGTACCGGTTAAAAAGGGGATGCTTACTCCACTTACTCCTCCTAGGCACCTGATCCCATCTCTTGAATTTCCAGGGGTCTGTGTTTTATGCCCTCGTGGATTTTTTTTTTTTTAGATCGATCACTGTTCGTTCTCTTTACCTTTTACAGTACTTCCATTCACATGTCGACTCGATATATCCCAGTGAACTCGAATTTAAAGACAAGACAGAATATGCCACATCTCTATCATATTTGGATGTTTTACTGACTTTAGACGCTAGTGGCCAACTAAAAACTAAATTGTATGACAAACGAGTGGCTTCAATGACTTCAGCTTTTCCATTGTCAACTTTCCTTATTTCCTCTATCGCCTCCAAACTCAAGAGCATGCTCTGAATTTTTCAAGGGGATCCTTCTCTAAGGCTAGTTTTCCAAGGGGGGGGGGGGGTCTACTCAACGAGACCGGTATCATAGAAAAGGTTCTATTTGGAAGTTAATAATTTTGAAATTATATATAATTTGTATTTGTACTCAGCTTCTAGATTTCGGATGCTAAAATTTTCCTGTTCTGTAAATCGCGTTACTCTTGTTTAATAATTTCACACAAATAAAGAGCTATGCCTTTTCCTTGAAATAATAGAGTTGCCTTTTAATTTAATCCAGTTTGTCTCAGATAAAAGCTAGGATCGCTAGGATCGTCATTATTAAGAATTTGAGGTTAAAACGTATCGTGACAGAAAAGATACTGGATACCGTTTATGTAGAAAGGGACCCAGTTTTGTTGAACTTTTAAAACCGAGAGCGGCTGAAGAAGAGTAAGGATTTATTAAACTGAGTGTATACAGCTTTAAAATACCAGTGTCAAAATCACAACACATCCTCTATCCATGAATACTTAATACACCAGAAAAAGGAGAAGAAAAACATATACAAGTACATTCGAAAAAGAAATTTTCAAAATGTTGACCTTAAAGTCATTACTCATTCTTTACTTTAAAGCGCATATTGAAATACGTAAAATTAAGTCAAGGGATGAAATTTTTTTTTATAACAAACGAAACGAAGAGAAAAGTGAAATCAAATCCGACCCCTGTAATGTACCTAAAGAACAATTAGGTTTCTCTATAACATATGATGAAAACATAAATATGGACATAACTACATAAATACCTATCTAAACCTACTTGTGAAATGCTACACTCATTAACATAAAGCTGTAATACTATAGACAGGAAACATTGACTAACATGATGTTTACTTTGTAAAATAGAAATGGACTTGAAAAGGGTTTCCAGTTAGTTATTCGTAAATATAAATAGCATTGATTAAAAATAAGGGATGTCAAAATTTCTTATTGGATTATTCGAACTTTAGACCACTGTTACGGTGATATTTCTTGTACATCATGTTCAGTACAACTTACCGATAAAGTTACATGCCTGTACCAACATTCAGAACATGTAACTTCTAAGTTGCTTGACCATGATTTTGTGTCTGTGCATATGTGAACACCTTTAAGGCAAAGAATCCTGATATACCTCTTGGCCATAATCACCTGTAACCCAAGTATCACCCACTGATATTTCTCAAATATTAAAAAATTTGTCCTATAGAAATAACCCCTCTGAACTCTGTTAACTTGTCTAGTTGACCTTTGATCTGGGTCATATATCCTATGGTCTTAATCAAGTCTTGGGCAATATGATCTTTGTAAGTTATTTCATTGTCAAGTTATATTGTGTACATTATTTTTTACTTTAAACTCCTTAACCTTGTCCGAATGACAATGGAGCAGATTTTGTTTGTTTGTTTATTGTTTAACGTCCCTCTCGAGAATTTTTCACCCATATGGAGACGAAACCACTTGCCGGTGGAGAGCTGCAAATTTTGACCTATCCTCGGCACTTAGGGCCATTGAGCAGCGAGGGATCTTTTTCGTGCCAGCACCTACTGCGACATGGGACCTCGGTTTATACTGTCTTATCCGAAGGACCGGTCCCACAGTGGGATTCAAACCCGCAACGTAAGGATCAACTCCTTACTCCGCGACTCTAGAGCGAACGCTCTAACCACTGTGCCACGCGGGCGACTCCATGGAGCAGGTAACACACCCACAAGTATAATATTCTAATGCGTATATCCACATCAAAGTTATAGCTATATAAATCGTTTTCTTGTAAAAACTAAACAAACATGCATGGCATTCATATATATGACAAATGATATAACTTCATCTTTTCGATCATCAACTTTCCTTCTTAATGTAGTAATATTCCACAATCACCTGCATATGGTGTTTATATCTCCCAACTTATTCGGTACTCAAGAGCGTACCCTGATTATGATCAATTTTTAAACCGATGCAGGCTACTGACAGATAAGTTGATGTTAAAGGGATTTCAACAACCTCGTTTAAAGTCATCATTTCGTAAATTCTATGGTCGTTACAATGACTTTGTTCGCAAATATTACCTATTATTGGGTCGTATTTTGACTGACATATTTCATACCAATTGTTAAGCCATTTTATTTTATACTAAATTTGACTGCGGATTATTCCGTCTAGCTGAACAATACATTGTACTCAAGGCAGGTGTGACCGGTCGACAGGGGATGCTTATTCTTCCTAGGCAGCTCATCCCACCTCTGGACTTTCCAGAGGTCAGTGCTTTTATGCCCTGTTCACAGATTTGTATTGTTTGTAGGTTTTATGAGATCGATCACTGTTTGTTATCTTCACCTTTTTCATAGCATATCTATTCATAGAAGAATGTTATCGTTCAAAAAAGTGAAGTAACTAAATACTAGAAAGTAAAATATTCAATTAGGAACGTAAAAACTATTATAAAATTGAAAAAATCATCATATCTTTTGTTTTTATGAAATGTGAGGATAACGAACTGTAATCATGCTCAAAGTCCAATTAAACAATACAAATTGTGAGCAGAATCAACACAGAATCCTGAACAGGGGTGGGATCAGATGCCATGGAGAGCGAGCATCCCCTTGTCGACCGCTCACACGGGCCGTGTGCCCCGTGTCATGATCGGATTTGCAACTTTGTTTAGAAGCAAAACATTTTTTCTCAATATATATATATATATATATATATATATATATATATATATATATATATATATATATATATATATATATATATATATATATATATATATATATATATATATATATATATATATATATATATATATATATATAATTTGTCCACAAAGGCATAGATTCAACATTAAGATTTTTTTAGAATATAGCTAAGATTGCCAAAGAAATTAGAAATTGCAGTAATGAAGGGGCGTCATTTTCGAAAGATGGGGCTGCCTTACGTCATTTCGAAAAATGCACAAGGAAGAGACATTTTCTTATCCTGGTCTTAGAAAACCTAGATGAGTTTTAGATTTGCCAGAACGATATAAGACTTCTTGTAGATGTACATTGTTACCAGTTTGTTTTCGTCCCTCTCGTGAATGATCTTAGCGTTTTCTGCCCGTAAGTCGTCACAGGTGTCTACGACCTGCTCTACTAGAGCCTGTTCCCAGTTCGTACCTCCCGCCAACCCTGACAACAAAAGACAGATTATATTGTAAATTGTAATTAAAAAAAATCTAAATATCATCAACACAAAAAAGTTAAATGACTTTGATAATACTAGTATTATCTACATCGATATCAGATACAATTAAATCTGCATTGATTATTGAGTTCTTAAAATTAATGGAGCCATTCTATTTCTCTCAGATAAAAATGTTGAGAGAAGATGATACAGAGAAGTACGAAATGTGAAGACAACGAATAGTGATCAACCTCAAAAGTCCATTTAAACAATACTAATTGTAAGGGCCAACACGAACCTCTGAAAACAGAGGCGGGATCAGGTGCTATGAACATCCATTTTTTTCATTATTATTCTTAGTTCTTTTATTTCATTTGCCACACATTATTTATTTAAGCTAAATGAGACTGATGAATAAGAAGATATTCTTTTTGGGAGTAAAGTTTTGTTTTATTTATTTAGTTGCCACTTGGTCATGGATAAAACTGAAATTTTACGTTTTTAACACCCTTTGATTAAGTATAACATCCATAATTAAGACATTAATTCATAGAGTAACCCTTACCGAACTCACGTGCCAGGTAGCGCGCTATGGTTAGGCTCTGGGTGAGTCGTTTTCCATTGACCTCCAAATAAGGCAGTTCTCCAGTTGGTGTGCCTGATAAATAAAAAGCTTGTCATTGATTTGCAGTTGATTTTGCATCCTGTATTGCGTGGTCCTTCATTTTGTTAATATACATCTAGTTTTTTAATTATGTTTGTTGCAAATCTTTATAGGCCCTAATGTTACATCGTTAAGTAGGAAAAACTCTTCATTCGTGAATAGAGGTAGAAAAATTGAAGCTGCAAGGATAGGTTAAAGATGTAATTATCGATAAATTTAATAATTAACTAGGATCTGAACTCATTCATTCAACCACACAAGAGGAATGTTTAAAGGAATGATCCATCCTCCAGAAATGAGAAACAAGATGGTATATGATTAAAAAGTACCCGAAAAGTTGTGAAGATAAGAAAATAATCTTGCGAAAAATATTGACTTCGTTCAAGTTTTTTAATTCAAATGGCATAATTTTGCAAAAAATAAAAAGTTCGAAAACATATAGGCTATAGGCTTTGAAAAAGACTCGCACATCGCTACGCTGAGTTGCAAATAAGGTGCAGGAATGTGTTCAGTCGAGTTCTATCAACGGACATGTTGTTCCAGATTTCACACCAAAAAGCGGTTACAGTAGCACGATCTTTTTGTACAAGTGAAACAATCTTAATGTCACAGAAATAAGAAACTGTGTGTCAAGATCGGTTAATACAATGTAAGAATTTCACTTTGTTGCACGGTTCTTGTATTTTCTCAGAGAGTTTTTAGTCTCAAGACTTGTACGCATTGAGCGTAAACCACCATTTACTTGAATAGTTGTGTTTTTATTAATTTCGATCTGAAGTTGAAAATGGATACAAGACAAATTATAATTTGTCTTGTAATCATTTTCAATTTCACAAATTATAATTTGTCATGTAATCATTATCAACTTCAGACTGGAAAATTAATAATACAACGACAGTTATATGTGATATCAAAGTGTGTCTGGAGCGCTAGTGGGGAGATGCCAATTAATGACAAGTCATCTGCTACACGTACATGTATTCGGGCTACCCGACCGTAGTTCACGAATAAGATCTTTAATATAAATAAACATATATTAAAAAAAAGTAGATAACACACCACCCTATCTAACACCTTGGTTGACTGGAAACCATTCTGAGTTTGGTTTAAAACAATTGAGTATATTTTGCTAACATTCGTTGAATAATGACCATAATTAACCAGTATAATGCCGAGTTCATATAAATTAAGTATAAGTTCAGGCCACCGTTCCATGTCAAATGTTTTGCTTTTATAAATTAAATATGTAAACATTACTACCTTCTTCTTAGTTGTGAAGAATATTGAACGATGCTGTCGGACATCCTTATTCCTTTGTTGACACCCTATTTTTGAGTCTAGCGGAAATTTTTATTGAGTAAACATACTTATAAAAATACAATCATAGATTTTTTCTTCAGTAATCAAGTCGTTTCCAGGTCCTTCCCGCAGTTTATAAGTGTCAATATTTTGCATCCTGGTCTATAACTGAAATTTATCTCAATTTCGTTTTTCTTAATGTTGAAACTTCTCAATCTTCTTTTTAAACTCATCGAAATGCTCTTCGGCCAATGAAGTCTATAATTTCTTGTAAAATAAAGTAAATCTTTCAGCTATATTACATTGATCATTGTGAATCATTCCATCTTCATGGGTCTCAGGATATACGCTTGGCGCTCTAGGCTTCCTGCGTTTAGTCAACTTCCAGAACAAACGAACATCGACTTCAGCAGCTTTGTACTCTCATATATATATATATATAAACCTATGCTGTTAACCGTATTCATTTACTTATATAATTTGTTATTTTCTTGATTTTTGAAACCAAAAGAAGTTTGTATCATCTGTCCTTAAACGTGGACCTATTTAATCCCTCTCTTATAGAGGACGTCACGTGATTTTGTGGAAATCAGCATCAAAATATTACTCTCTCTTTCTCTCCAACAATGCTCCTTTTTGATATACAGTGTACCAAAGAATAAGAAATTCATTCAGTGCTATTGATATTTGTCCATTATAAAATATATGTAGGCATGCAAGTGTTTTAGCCAAAACTGTACAAAATTGATCATGATAAACATCGTGCATAATCATGTATGTGTATAGATCTAAATATCCTGTATTGTATTTATACATTCTTACTAATATGCATGCATGTACAAGTAACTAAAATAATTCCTCTATATATACATATGTATATACATTATGATTAATGATTTTTTTTTAGAGAGAGAGAGAACATTTATATGCTGTGAAGCTGTTCAATCATATAAATTTTTGAATAAAATATTTATTAAAATCAAACAATGAATATTACATTAAATAAAAAAAAATTCCAAACGTCCTAGCATAAAGTTAAATTAAACGTGTCTCATATTTGAACTTAAAAATTCGCTGATAATTCAGAGTTCAGCCAAGCTTCCTTTTATGATAGTAAAATACACGCTCTACTAGATAAACATTTATGACGAAAGGACAATTTGCGGGTAGAGTTACACACTCTGTGTAAGGTCGTGTAATCTAAATGCTTCAACAATTATACGCTTGTGAAGTCAATCTTAAACGTCAGAATTCTGATTGAGAAAGAAAAAAAACCAAAATAAAAAAAACAAACATATTTCAAAGAATACTACCTCAAAAACATGTCAATTTCCAAAGATCTTTTGCATATTATGCAGAATGGAAACAATTTTTACAGTTGTTTAAAATGCAAAACATAACTTACTATGTTTAATTTCTTTCCAGTCTTCTATGTTGACGCGTTCGTCCTGGAACTCCACCTTGGCGAGCCTGAACACCATTCTGATGAGTTCCCCCCTCCCCCTCAGAGCAAAGTAAACAAACTTGTAGTTGGCCATCTATATTCTGTCTCCGACGGTACGCTGTGTAGCGTTCATTTATAATGCACGGCTGGGTATACGATTTCAGGTCCGTGCTTGATAGAACTCTACAATATACACACACATACTATGTCAGGTCTTCGTACTTTCGGTACTTCATAATTTCATGTGATAAAAAGCAATTCTTCGTAACATGTTCATTTTGTCGTGTTAAGGGGTGCAATTGAAGTAGAACAGGTTAATCTTTTTAATACATTTGACAACCCCCAGTGATTGGTCTTATAGTAATAGAATGTTATCTAGTGCATGAAGGTTAATTGTTGTGTATTTAGCGATCAAAGACGAGGATGCGGTCATTAGGTGTATTTGTGATGTATGTATATGTATAGATATAGAAGGAATTTTACGATATTCATTCAGCCGTAAAAACTATTTTCCCACCAGAAGTCTATTAATATACAATTGTTTGTTATACTTATTTATTCATTTTCATCAGCTAATCCAAGCGTAATGGTGTGAAAAATTTAAATGTCACACATTATATTTGAGGTTTTAGGTCCTATCTTTTTATTGGCTAATTCATAAACGTAGTATCAAGGAATTTGCACCAAATAGTAAAAAAAGGTACGGTGCATTGTTCATTGTAATCATATCAAAAGATCCATATACTAGTATGTCCAATTTAGCCCCACCCTTGGATCAGAACCCTAGAATATCAATCTTAGTAGCCTATTCCACAAAATATTCATGCAAACTGTTTAATATACACTGCTATAGGGGTCTGACACCCAAGATTAAAGGAAGGCATATTTCTCATTAAGATGCAGTTTGCCCTCATTACCATGGAGTTTGTCTTCATTATCATGTAGCATGCCCTCAACATCATAGTTTGCCCTCATTATCATGCATTTTGTCCTCATTATTATGAAGTTTATCCTCATTATTATGCAGTTAAACCTCATTATCTGCAGTTTGCCCTCATAACCATGTAGTTTGCATCATTACCATGCAGTTTACCCTCATTACCATGCAGCTTGTCAATCATTATTATACAGTTTGTCCTTATTATCATGCATTGTGTCCCCATTATCATACAGTTTGTCCTCATTATCATGCAGTTTGCTTTTACTATAATGCAATTTTTCTGCCTGATGACCAGGACTGAGGATTTTAATGCATTTCAATCTGGATTAATATAGACTCAGTACCAAAGAGTCAGTAATTTCACAATTTTGGTTGATGACTCATTGCTCATTATAATACTGTATATATAGTATAATTGCTAGACGACAGGGAGTAAAGAAGAAGATTATGGCAGATTTCAAGAATTTTCAATATAGAACTAAAGTGATCCAATCCTAGAGCCCGAACCCAGGGGCCACGAATTTCACAATTTACTTAGACAACTCAATGCTCCTTATGATCATGTAAAACAAATATTCTGTTTGATTAAAGAGTTAAGATATTTAGAAATATAATGTACTTTTAATTAATGACCAATTAATCTCAACGCTGATTTCTACATTTTCTGGTATTTGGGTAATTGCTCAACATAGTAAAGCAAACAGATTGGCTATGGAGGATAATTGAGGTTTGCTTGAATTCTGATGGTTTTAGCTCCCACCCTAGGGATGCAAGACTATGAAATTCAAAAGAAATGTCTTTTTTGGTGGTCATGATATGAACAAAGTTTGAATTTACGGTATGTATTGAAGCTCTCATACAAGTTTCATCTTTTCTGGCCAAGTGGTTCCTGAGAAAATTTTTAAAGATGTCCCCAAATTTTCACGAATTCTTAATTATCTCTTCTCGAAAGAGGGTGTAACACTTTCCGTGAACAAACTCACATCTCCTTAAACCAAGGATGCTTTGTGGCATGTTTTGTTGAAACTGACCCAGTGATTCTCGAGAAGAAGTCGAAAATGTAAAAAGTTTACAGACAAAACACGACAGACGGACGCCGGATACTCTTCGATCAGAAAAGCTCACTTGAGCCTTCGGCTCAGGTGAGCTAATGAATTCTTTGAATCAAGATTGATTGAAATCAGTATAGCTGTTCCAAGGGAGAAAGTTTAGGCATGCACATCACACGACTGACGGAACGAATGGCAATACAGAATTTGGTTAAGTGTGGTCGTGTTTGATATTGTTTAAAAGATTTTCTACAACAAATATACCTCATTTTTGTTGCTTATTAGATGTATTTCCGTCTTTTGTTGAATTTCAGATATCGGTATTCTGACTAACAGAAAAAATGGAAATCTAAAAGTGATGGAAAATTAAAATATTTTCAGATATATAATATTTATAGAGGAACCCAAAGTTAGCTCTTAATTTTCAGAGATTTAGGGAAAGTTATATAGATAAAATTTGACAGAGCGTTTCTTCGTTGCATGATGTAACACAGTGTTTGGTAGTGACAATTTTAATTTTTGTACTTGGAAAAAGAACAGGATAAGTAAAAATTGACATGTTTATTGTTAAATGAACGAGAAAAAAAAATGCAAAATATGACAATTATTTATGATCAATAAAAATACAAACAATATCAATATCATATACATGTACAGTGACAAAGATAGACATGTACACAAGATCACACAATAAACTTTGGAAAAAAAAATAGTTGCATATTTGACTACAAAGACTGCCTTTGATGTAAATAAACAATACATTGCACTGAACCAAGAAACCCACTGTAACAGTAACATGTGGTGACACAGATATCCGTATACTTACTCTTGAAAATGCTTTGTTTTAAACAGCTCTACTACTACATTGTTTACAAAAAGGTAGATAGCAAACGTGATGAACAACTAACAGTATTGACAATATATACGATAAAAAATAAGTGTATAAAACTTAGATGAATAGCAGTGCACGATAAAATACTAACTTGTTTTGTTGAGTAGGATTCCCCCCCCCCCATCCCCCTAAAGTAGGATTTCCTTCGAAGAACTAACTCTAGAGTAAGATTTTCCCCACGGACATCTGGCTCCAGAGTAGAATTTCTCCCCACGGATATCATAGAGTCAGTCTAGCGTAGAAATTCCCTCTTAGAACCACTTTCCATCCTCTCCTATTTGAAATGCCCTGCATAACATTGTATATTTTCATTTCTGACTTCAATGAAAATAAATATTTTTTAATGAGAACAAGAGGTCAATGGGCCAAAACGCTCACTGAGTCACTTTGATTTGCCTTGTTTGAACAGTGCCTAGTTATTGCATCTCTCAAAATAGATAAAGGGGATGCAGTACCCCTATAGATTCTATAATGCAAAATTCATACAAGTATCCACATCCTTTAAAGAGTGTGTTGGCTTGATAACTACCAATAAATAAGAGGGGGAAATCCCACTCTGGTTGATAACAAAAGGAAAAAAAAATATGTCCAGAGTAAGATTCCTTTCCTCGTGAGAATTCTGCTCTAGAGCAGGATTTCTCTATTGGTAAAAATCCTACTTGAAAGTAGAATTTCCTGGGAGTAAATCCCACTATGGTGTAATAATACCCCATTGCCCCATTTAAGGCCTGTCTTTTTTTGATACGGCAAACTTCATGAACATCCCCTTGAAATTGTTACATTTCCAAATAGTGCATTCTGTAGATTTATGTCTGAAATTTACACTTCCTTTTTAGTTTGCAAATTCTGAGGATAAAAATATTTTGGTCTCTCAAAGGTTTTATTTTGTGATTTCCAAAAGTTTTCCCTAAGTAGATTTTTTATCTGATGATGCAGCGTTGAAATCGTCAGTTTATCTTTAGCGGTATTTCTGTTTCGATGACTCAAATAAAAGTTTGGTGTAAATGTTGGTCAAACTTTTCTAGCGTAGTGGTGTCCATGACGTTTTCATCTTAATAATTTGAGCACGACAGACTGGTCTATACACCCATCAGCCACAAACTGGAAGTCTCCGCTGTAGTCCAAGCCTTGGATTTAAGGCGGCGTGTACAAAACAATAGTTGTTTTCTTCAGAAAAGGGGAATTCTCACTTGGGATTGTGAGAGCCACTGACAGGTAAGTTTGACTCAGTTATTTGACCACTTGTCAAACCCTAGAAATGCACGCGATTGTTCAAGCGACACAGAGGTAGATTACTGACAAAAAGATGACATGCCTAAAGGTAAGCAGTCCTTTATGTCTCCTCGGTTTGGGCAGTATCGGGTACAGCGCACGGATTCCAACTTCCAACAAGACATTGTTGATAATATTTTTTAAAAATGTGAGCAGCAGATCTTTGGATTTTTTTTATTGTTTTACAGGTAGAGTTCAAGTCATATATGGCGTATTTTTGATAAGTTCAGACTAAAATTAAAAAGATCTTTCTATTTGTTGTATTACTTTTATTATATAAAGATAGGACTTTCCTTTAAATTACACAATTTAAATCAATCGCGTTTCATAGATATTAGAAATTTAAAATAATAACCGATTTATTTACCGACTCCGCATTTAAATATCAGACACAGTTTAAAGTCAATTTAATTATAGATACGAGGGATTATTCAAGTTCAAAATCGGTGAAAATTTTAATTTGAACGTAAATAACAAATATCATGATGTTCATCTACACTCAATCTCGTATTTTTATTTTTTTAGTTCAGATACGCCAAAAATAGCTTTAAATATGATAATTTTTAAAGAAGAAATTAATAAGATCTCTTAAAGTAACAGTCCATCCGGTCACGTCGCTCATGGCAAAGAATGCAATGAAATACTTTTAACAGAAAATCAAGCAGATCGAAGCGACTGTGAAAACTTAATAAAACACTGTTAAAGTAAAATTGAACGAGAAAAAGTTCAATTTTACAAATGTCCAATGATAATTTTTTTTTATCTTTGATACCTACTCGTTTACCTGTAGCTTTGGTCTCGATGATTATATATACTCTTTCTTATTGTTATACAAAATGTACAAAACATTACATCATTTTCGTCCCTTTGAAAAATCATTGTCTTTTCAAAATTAACCTCAAGTTTCCATTTTTCATAATAACAGGAAAAACTATTCAATTGATTCCAAAAATCAGGTGTTTCTGAGAGTAAATAAAATAATCAACAACATTGACAAAATACCAAAAATCCAAATGAAAATTAGTTGCCTTAATTCTGTCTACCTGGACTCGGCGAGTGCAATAAGAAATATGCACGGCGTGACTCACCGAGAGATCATCTAGGTATCATTCATTTCATCTGTTTTTCTTGAACCAGAATGACTCTTAATCCCGGCAGAAAATACTTTCATTTACTTGGGGTTATTGGGTTTGCTCTATCTAATCGATCTACTTTATATACCCAAGTTCAAACAAGCAGAGGAGACATTTTCACGAATGTTTATTTTTACATAAAAATCTTGCAAGTGTAAACTTCTTTAATACGATAAGTTTGCTGAACATTTTTCACGGATGA